ACGAATCCAAGGGTTTCCTTGGACCCGGGCCGAACATCGAACATATAATCAAAGAGGCGAAGAGAAAGAGGAATACGAAGAAACCGGCAGACGTTGATAAAGCTGCCTAACAAACGGTGACCATTAGGGGCCAGCTGCGCGGGCATGATCCCGTAGGTCTCAAGGAAAAGGACTTTGAATGGGTGAATAGAGAACTCACCCAAGTCCTTGGGTTGGCGCTGGTTTTCCGAGACGATTTCCCCGCCGAAAAGCGACTGGGCTGTTCAAATTCCAGGAAATGATCGCATGTGCTTCCTGCCCCTGATGGTCCCCACAGGACCGGGAATCGGAGGACTCCTTGATGGGTAATAACCCAAGGATACCACCCGGTTGGTTCACCGAACAGCACGCGTCTTTTTCAGCCCGGGTTATTTGACCGGTTGGATGAGGAGACCAGATGCCAATACCCGAAGATTTACTCAAGTGCACCTGGTGGGCCGGTCAGCCGCCTGACCGGTTGAATAATCAGAGACGTGCTTGACGTGCTTAGGATTATTATAAATACCCTTAAAAGCCTCATTTGTGAGGCATGTTTTAATTAACCTACACGGCTTGTATTTGTAATAACTCCTATTATCATTAATAACAAACCGGGTTACAGGTGATTCCACCTACAACCCTTCCGATTACTCACACTTTATTTTTGCGTGGTAATTTACACCATCACTAGACAAGTTTGAATTTTAAGAAATAAGATTGAAAAAATAATTTAGGAAACTCCGCAATGAATCTGAAAGGCTGGAAGTACACAGTGGTTAGGTCTGAATTAAAGAGAAATTCCCAAAACCACACACCACTGTCAATAACAAAATGCCGGTTTTCAAGACCCCCTTCAATGGCTACTCCGTGAAATTCAGCCCGTTTTACGAGAACCGGCTTGCCGTCGGAACGGCCCAGAACTTTGGGATCTTGGGCAACGGCCGGGTCCACGTCATCCATCTGAATCCGAGCGGACCCGTCTCCGAGCTCGCCGCGTTCGACACCGCCGACGGCGTCTACGACGTGTGCTGGTCGGAGGCCCACGATTCCCTGATCATCGCCGCCGTCGGCGACGGCTCCGTCAAGCTGTACGACCTCGCTCTGCCGCCGGCCAACAACCCAATACGATCGTTCCAGGAGCACACCCGGGAAGTCCACGCCGTTGACTACAACACCGTCCGGAAAGACTCGTTTTTGTCGTCTTCCTGGGACGACACGGTGAAGCTCTGGACCGTCGATCGGAATGCCAGCGTCAGGACATTCAAGGAGCACGCTTACTGCGTGTACTCCGCCGCATGGAACCCCAGACACGCCGACGTCTTTGCTTCTGCTTCCGGCGATTGCACTGCCCGGATTTGGGATGTTCGAGAACCAGGTTCTTTTACATTTCTTTTTCTATCCTTTTTCGTTTTATTTGTTTATACAGATCAATTCTTTATTGATGAATAATTCTCGGTAATAAATTAATTTTCATTTCTTAATTCAATGAATTGAAACTACAAAGTTCTTGTTTTGCTCACTTTTGCACCAAAGTTAAGTAAAAAAAAGTGTATATATTGGGTACACTCCTAAACAAGGCATGAAGGAATAAATCTATTTATTTTATCTAATATTTGTAAATGAAAGTTAAAATTATGAGAAAAAAACTGCAAGAAGGATTTTAGGCAAGTGAAGAACAATTAATTGCATGCTCACAAGTTTGGGGAAACACTAATTTATGGATGAAAATGAAAGAGAAGAACATGTTAAATTCATTGGACTCTAAGGTTGTTTTGACACCAAGATTGGGTGTCATATCATGAAACTAAGCACCCGGGCTTCGTTGGACCAGGAGTGGTTCCTACCCTTCTACCCCCCGCCCGCCCCCAAATTGCCATTTTGCTACAATGATTTTGGGTGTTTGGGAGGTAGAGACCACTTCAAGGTCCAACGGAGATTGTAGGGGCCTCAAATAGCCAATGTTTTAATATGACACCCAACCTGGGTGTCAAAAGAACCGGGCTCTTTGTTGAAAGCTCTCTAATATTTACATCTCAGAAAATGGGATTCATAAGTTGTGTCTATTTTATTTGGTCTCATAAAACTTACTTGAATAAGCTGAATGTGCTGGTAAATTATTAGACCATGAATCATCTTTCTCAGGTTCAACCATGATTCTACCTGCACACGAGCACGAAATCCTCTCGTGCGACTGGAACAAGTACGACGAATGTATAATCGCTACCGGGTCGGTGGACAAATCGGTCAAAGTTTGGGACGTGAGGAACTACAGGGTGCCCATATCCGTCCTCAACGGTCACGGGTACGCGGTTAGGAAACTCCGTTTCTCCCCACACAGAGGAAGTGTCATCTTGTCTTGCTCATATGACATGACTGTCTGTATGTGGGACTACATGGTTGAAGATGCTCTTATTGGACGGTACGATCATCATACCGAGTTTGTGGTTGGGGTAGATATGAGTGTGCTTGTGGAAGGGCTTCTGGCGAGCACAGGTTGGGATGAGTTTGTTTATGTTTGGCAGCACGGAATGGACCCAAGAGCTTCTTGAGGAAGAAGAAGAAGAAGAAGAAGAAGGGCAAGGGAAGTCATTTTTTTCATCTTTTTTTTTTGGTATTTGTTGTTTGAGAAGATACATTTGCAAAGGGAGTGATGATAGTGAGAAGAAAGAATAATGCAATTGGTTACAGCTTCCAATCTTCTCCATATTGGGATGAAAGTAATGGGACAGCTAATCTTTTTTTTCCTTCATATTTCATCCTATAGGACTCAATTGTATAGGTCTTGCTGAGAATATTGTAATTTTTCAGTGTTGTGTCCTAATTAATCACTTCTCCAACCCATAAAAGGGGCTTTTGTTCCTATTTTTTATTACTCCCTCCGTCCCAATTTGAGTTATTTGTATATTGTTCACAATGTCAAATTTAAATTCCGTTCTTTTCTTATTTTAGTTACTAATTTAGTACAATAATAGTTGTGCCATATCTTATTTTGTAGAAGTTTTGAACATATTTAAGAAAAATAAAAAATAGAATTGATTTTTCAAAATTGCCATTAGTTTTTAGGAGAGGTGACGATGAATGAGAAGATAAGGTGGAGAAGAGTGACTTATTTTAGGGGTAGTTTAGGTATTTTACTCATAAAAGTTTACAATAACAAGTAACAGTCAACTTATTTTGGGACCAAGAAAAAATTCAAACAAGCAATTTAAAATGAGATAGAGAGATTAAATTAAATTGAAAAGAATTTCGGTCAAATCTCTGCGATTTAAACTGAGACGAAGGGAGTATTTTAGTAAGGCCAAACTATTGCAAATTATTTTAAAAGGTTGTTAACTTTATTTGATGGTCTAATGAAGTGTGTCCCTCTCAGTTTGTTTGGGGTACAATATTGAACAAAAACAGTAAATATAATGAAATCAGTTTCTTTTGTTCAAATTGAACTCTTTTTTTTTGTGACAAGAATATCTTTTGGAAGAGTTCTTTTTATGGAAAGGAAGACGTGGAATATATTCATTAATGGCTGTTTTGAAACTTTAAGCCTGGATCTCAAATTTAGATTTGATCCATGCTCCATTTTAAAATGTCTATTTCAATTTACATATTATCTAAAGTTGTTTTAATTAAATTTATATAATAATTAAGGTGAAATTAAAAAATAAAATTTATATATTTAAAAACTATATAAAAAATCTTACAAAACAAGTGGTGAGATCACAATATTTTTATCAAATGACTCACGAAAGTGAGTAAAAAGAATAAAATTTGAACTTGCAAATTTTAAGTTAGTACGGAGTGTTTTAATTTGGGACGAAGTAGAAATTTAGAAATAAAAAAAGAGCTTAGATTAAAGTCAGGTTAATCTAATTTTCACTAAAGTTTAATTACAAATTCATACTCTTTAAAATAGAATGCACTTTAGAAAGAAGGTGTCATGAAAAAAGATTTTCTCTTTTTCATTGGGAGATGGTGTGAGTAACACTATCTCTTGGATAAGGATTAAGTTATTTGTATCCCAAATTGTACACCGCAGGTGTGTACCTTCATTTTGTGTCAGTGTTATGTTAGAGTGATAGTTCACACAAACACAAAATGTTAGTACAAACTTTTGTTAACGCACCATCGTTTTATGTCATTATAAACCATCAGTATATACCTTTGGTATAACTTTGAGATATACTTCTTGGTGTAAGTGTAGCATGGTTGCTCGGAAAATATATGCAACAGAATGGAAAACAAATACATGTCAGATGTAAAAGGCATTTTTAAAGGTCTCACTGAAAATCTAACTCATATGATCTATTTTTCTTTATAAAAAAAGATAGATATAGAGAGAACGTTTTGTACTCAGTATTATGTATACAAAGGATATCAGCCTATCAAAAAAACAAATAGAAAAATCTTGACATCAATGCAAAATACTACACCCACTATTATATTCACAAATTCCTCTCAAAGCTCATTATTTGCTCGTCCACAGAGACGGGAAGAATCGATTAGGAAACGGTATGCTCAAGTTCAAGCAAGCGCGACAGAACTTGCAAACTATCGGGCCTTTCATCCGGTTGTTCCACCCAGCAATCTGCAAAAGTATAATGTATGAAAGAATTTGGTGAAAAATATAATTTAAAAAGGAAATGCTTAAATGTGTGTTTTTTAAAAATCTTTTACATATGTAGTGTAAGTCTGAAAATTCTTTTTTGGTATTCATCCTAGTAATTGATGCCATTTTATTTAGTTCCACTCCATTCCCACCCTTAAGATTAAAAAACTATCACAGCTAATATATTCTTCAAGTTGGCTCTTTCAAGTCATTTTATTTTAAAAAGCACTCCGTAAATTTTATTCCCATTGAGCTAGAGACGCGTAAACTGAAAGTGGAAGCGGGAAGTTCACTTAGCTCTAGCTCCCTTAATAGTCGGCGAAGAGTTAAAGAAAGTTGGTGTGGAAAAGGTAGACAAAAGTATACTTAAATTACAAGGAAAAATAACAAATAAATAATTTTAAAGAGGACCTAAAAAAAGTTAAACGGAGTAATTGTATTGAAGAAAAACACAAGCAATGTAAAAACCTGATATAAGCTTTCCCACGGGACCATCAGGGATATCCAACCGTTTCCCGTCATTAGCAACAGCATATACTACCTGAAAGAAACAGAAATCATCCATTGGGACTAATTATGGCATTGAGAAGATAGCCTTTGGGAGAAGCAGATGGTGATTACCTGGACAGATGGATTGCCTTCCCACGGTCTGTTAAGTGTGTAGAGCTCCCATATTATAACACCAAGGCTAAAAATGTCACATTTTTCAGTAAAGGGTTCATTACGAATGAGTTCCGGGGCCATCCATTCTGGAGTTCCGGCAGCTGAAGAATCTCTCATTGGTTTGGTAGTCAGTAACCTAGAGAGCCCAAAGTCACAAATCTTGACCTTCCAGTGTTTATTTACAAGGCAATTCGCACTCTTTAGATCCCGATGAGCTATTTTCATTCGGTGAATGTATATCAAACCCCTACATTGTCAGTATAGAAAGAAAAAAGTAGGCATTTACATGATTGGAAAAAGTAAATTATGTCTGGATAACTTATGGCACGAGTGTTTTATCATAAATACTTCATTCTTTAAGCACAAGTTCTTTTCTTAAGAAGTTCCACTCTGATTTCTTAAAAAATATTCAAAAAGTGCTTTATTATTGTTATTTATTAAAAGCATTTTTTCATGTTCCTGCAAAACTCTACTTTTTTAAGTACTCTTTTTCCCCTCTAAAAAACCATGAAAATAAGTTATTTCCAAACACTCATTCCAAGAAAATAGGTAATGCCAAACAATCTAGTGTCTGTTGTGAATGTGCACCTGCATATATCACAAAGCATTTTCAGCCTCCTTCGCCAGCTGAGTTTATTTTTCTGTCCACTTGCGTGGATAAGATGATATAATGATCCCATCTCCATAAATTCAGTTACCATGGATAAGCGAGGAGGCTTTGTGCAAGCACCAAGAAACAGAATGACTGCATGAGAAAAACAATTTATCCAAATCATGGCTTGTGTAGTTTTTAATATATAAAGAAATTTATTCTGAGAAAATATGATCTTTTCATGCAGAGTGAAATCAATGTACAGAATGATTTACCGTTTGGATGGCGAATACGGCTGACAAATGGACAAGCAAAAAAGAAGTCAGATAAAATGAACTTTTTATACTTTGAGTAAGAGAGGAACGTAAAATGATATGTAATTTAAGTACCTCAATATAGATATTTCATTGGCAAAATCTTCAATATTTTCTTGGCTCAAGTCTTGCTCGAGGTAAATTTTTACTGCAACCTCTATCCCATTCCAAATGCCACGAAAAACCTCACCAAAGAATCCTAGAAATAAGAAACAGTTCTATTTGACAGAGCTCTAAGAACATGTATAAATTAATATCATTGGAAGAAGCAAGAGGAAAAGAAAATTTACAGGGAACCCAAAGCTATGTATATGCAATCAAGATGCATGCATTGTTCATCTCGTTAGAGGCATGGTGAGAAAAATTCAGTGTTTCTAATGCTCTACATTCAAACAAAACCTAAATTTCAAGTACCGATTTATCCAAAAATTAGCGCATAGTATAACATACTTCTTGTAATGCATACCAATTCCAACACGTATTCCGATGTTTACTTCTGAGAAATCTATGTTCCACTCCTCGAAAGGTAATAATGGCTGGTTCACAAGTTTTGAAGACTCCAGTACTTTATCAAATCTGGAGATCATATGAGGATTTTTTGAAGCTGTTGATCGATCGGCCCTTCTGGGGATCTGATTTTTAAAATACTGAGGGGATGAAGGCAATGAGATAGCTTTATGAGAATTTATTTGCTTCCTCTGCAAAACATATGCTAGGCTACTTCTGTCATTAATCCCTTCATGATCATTGGTATGGAACCTTAGAGCCTGGTAATCAGAAGTACATAATTGGAGGCAACCTTAAATTGTTTTTCTCTATTTCAAAGCCAAGGGGATTGAACACACTATAGGAGGGGATAAGAAAAATGATAGGGAGATATTAAACAATGGGTGGTACATTGAAGAGCTTATGAAGTCGGCCAAAAAAGTGTCAAGAGAACATACACTTGCTTGGCTATTGGAATCATCATCTCTTTTCTCTGCAGAAAAATCATTAGTTGAAACATCTTGTTCCCTTGGTAGTCGATTTTGTTTGACAGCTTCATTCATTGCACGCACAGCCCTGCGAAATTTAATAAAAGAACTGTTTCCAAGAGAAACTAATATGGAGTAGGTTTTAAATCTGTTGCACACTTCAAAAAACTAGTTCTAATTGCTTACTAGCCCTTGTTAATCTCCACTTTGAGGAAATCTGTGGGGACAGGGATGGCGACGGGGTGTGAAAAGTGAGGTTGGTATGTTTCCTTTTTATCATGTTGAACGATATACTGATATACAGAAAATCAAGATTTATTATATTTAGCTCATTCTGACCACTTTAAATATTTTCCTCTTGAATGTGTTCTACAATGAATGCAAAACAGATTAGTTTCTATACACAGACTACAAAGTATTTAGGATTGACCACTACTGTTAAAATAGGCCTAGGCGGCCATCTAGCTTCACAATTAGGTTCAAGTTGGCATAGGTTAGGCAGGTGGTCTTCTTGGCGGAGCAAGGCAGGTGGCTTCCTATGTGAAAATTAAAAATACTAATGTCTTGCATTCATTGTTAATATTTTCTTTGCCTATTGACCAGAGAATTAAAATATTTTCCTAGAGAAATATTTTCCTTAGCAATTTCTGGAACCTTGCATATTGACCAAAGAATTATAGTATTCCATTAGTTTTTCAATACAAGGAAACTATTTTAATTCAGGTATATTTCACTTCCAGAACAAAAAAAGTGCCCTGATCAACCTTACAATATTATCACCAATCTCTGGAATCATGCTAACGCATCGCCGTCTTCTCCTACGGGCTTCTATTGGTGATGCACCAGCAGATCTACAACCAGAGCACAATATATATAAATAAGAATAATGTTAAGGTGAATTCATCGAAAAAAGGAAAAGAAATCCATCCTATGTTGGTTGAGTTCTACAAAATATTGGTCTTACGAATGGGTTTATTTGGCTTCATCATATAGTCTATACTACTCATGGAGTCATGGTCAATGTTGAAAGAATTGGTCAGCATAATTTACAAAATGAATGCTGAATGGCATTCATCGCCTAGTTTACCAAATTCAGAGAAGCTTCCAGTTTTTTTTCTTTTTTTTAAAGAAGCTTCCAGTTTAAACTGAAGCAAATTGTACTCCGTGTGTATTAACTTATAGTTGCAAGTCTTTAAACCTAACTACAGTCAGCACGGTTTCTCTAGGAATAATTCAAATTATAAGAAAGAGAAAATTCTTTAGTCTATACCAACAAATGCAAACCTTGATGTACTCGTATCATCACAGTATCCTTTGATAGAATATCTCCTATCCCCAAGAATAGATCTTCTCTGTCCTCGAAATAAGTGGTGCTCTGGACTAGACACACATATAACAAATGAACGATCAAATGTATTTTCTAGGGAAAGGATCACTTTAACCCAAACAAACAGTGTATAATAGTCAATCATGTGAACCATGACTTCAGTATCATATATAAGTCCACTTACAATTTAGTTACCAAATAAATGCTACTACTAATTATACCTTGGACTGGTGGCCCGTTGTTCAGATATGTTTTTCTTCCTATTGTGCCACCAAAAGGAACAGGCAACATCTGGTTCACTTTGTGATGAGCTGACAAATTGTGAAACAAGAAATAAGCACAAGAAAGACTCTCTCGTAGTCTTGTACAGAAATAGTTAATTTAATTATTTCACATCACGTTAATAAATAAAACTGATTGATTACTTTCAATACAAGTTCATATAAGTACCAAATACCCGTCAATCATAGACTGTGATTGTAGCCTTTGGTTTGTTAGAGACGGGGTGGACACATTAGTTGATGCTTCTAGTTTATGCTGATATGCAGTTTGGATGCTCTCCCCTGAGGAAATTCTGCAATGAAAAGAAAAGAAAATTTTGAGGCGGAATAGCTTTTACAATTTGCATCGCACAAGTCATACTCCCTCCATCCCAAAATAAGATTCATGTTCGATTTACGATGTTTGACTGAAATTATTTTCAAATCAATATAAGTGAAAATTGGTCTAGAATTAAAAAATAAAAGTCATATATTAGAAAACTACATCAAAAGTTCTTCAAAACAAGCGGTGACAAGATTATTTTATTTTATCAAATGATCAGTGAAAATGTATAAAAGAAGTAGATTTAGTTTGACTAGTGAATAGTAACTAGTGAAAATGTATAAAAGAAGTAGATTTAGTTTGACTAGTGAATAGTAACTAGGAACCTTATTTTGGGATGGAGAGAGTATATACTAAGAAAAATAGTTGATAAAAAGACTCGTCTACTAAAAGTAGACAAGCCAAACTTTTATGTCTTACCCTTCAATGCCAAGTTGGTCTGAGACGAGACAGATAGGACTGTTGGGTTCAACAGGAGAACAATATGAATTGCTTTCCACAGAATTTATATCACGGCTGGCACATATGTGAGAAAGAAAAAGTGCATGCGATGTAAAAGGGACCATCTTTCCCGGTGACAGCACAAGATCAACCAGAAATTCCACAGAGTTTAGAATAACTGTCACAGATATAGGTTCATATGTATAATCCCGCTCCATTACTCCTTCCCTAGGATGACCCTGACAACAAAAGGAACTTTAGACATGCTGGAAAAGTTGTAGCTGATATGATTCCATATTAAAAATCCATGAAAAACGGTCCCACAAACTAAGGAAAGAATAATAGGTTGACCCTAATAGAGAGAAAACTCACCACAATAAGCTTACATTCAAGGCCAACGGCATCTGCAAGGACTTTAAACAGAATTGCCTGGGAATGGTAGTGCCTACTCTTCATCTGGCAGAGCATATGGATACCTTGACTATCCAGAGCACGAGAAACCTCATCAAGTGCATTTCTTCTATACTTTGGGCGTTTATAAAAATCACAAACCTATAGATTATGACGGCCAGTCAAAAAGCAGAACAAACTAACTTATTTGATTGCATGGTTGTTTGATGATGGTAAATGACGAAAAAAAGTTGAAAATCCATGATAAGTATGATTAATTACATCTAGGGCTAAAAAACTAAAATAGGAGGATAAATAGGTATGGTAAAAGTAACAGGAAAACATACTAATGCAGCTATCTTCTTCACAACTGCAGCAGGACTAGCACTCAATCCTTTCACTAAAGTAAGAGTCAGTTGCTTTAGCATTGAAAGCTTTTTATCTTTAAGTGTATCAACAACAATAACATTAGGTCTAAGACCCTCTACATCCAAAGAAAAAAGGTCGTCTAAAGACGGGATAGTGTCAAAAAGCTCTTTGAATCTTCTTTCCTGCAAAAGTACAGTATGATTGAAACGAGATCAATTCCACAACGCCACAAGAACTACTTATTAAAGTTATTAGTAAACCAATACAATTACAATAAAGCTCAAATTAACCACATAAAACTTTATCATAAAACAGTACCCAGTACTTGGTTTTAAAAAATGATGCAGAAAGCAAAGCATGAAATTTTGGAATGGTGCACCAAATGAGAATTCTTTCAACTTTCCTATCTTCATAATGCTTGTTAAAATCAACAATGCCTCACTTCAGAAAATAAAGTGGAGTTATCAATAATCCATTGATACTGACCGGAATAACGAAATAAAAACCATCGGGAATTGGTTCAGCAAGTTTTCCAGTTGCCCACAGAATCTGTGATGCTCTCTCTGGCGCTGAGCTCTCTACCTCATGTTTGTTTAACTCTTTTGAGTCTGAAGTTTGTGTAGAATAAGTGGTAGAAACCAACTGTAATTTCTCCATAAAATCAGCTGGCCACCATGGAGCATCAGGATTTGATGCCTCCATTGGCCCAATGTCATCTCTTGGTTCCTCCATCTTGTCAAAGATTCAGAAGGACAGTTCACCTTGCACCAATCCTATTGTAACGAAAGAAAATTTTGCACAAAGTTGAAAATCTACACTGGCTTGAACATCTGAAGACTGAAAATAGAGCTGAAAATTTTGCATTGTTGAAAATTTACAGCAGCAAGCATATGCAGTCATATGTTAAAATTATGAAACTTCTTGTGCTGATTTGGTCCCCCCCCTACCCATCCATATGATCACATCACATATTTCAACTGACTTACTTAGTAACACAATCATTCATGCTGACAATAGTGGAAAGGGCAATCCCATATACTAGTTGAGCTTTATAACTTCAAATTGAGAAAATAGGAATTTTCACTTGCTAAGAAAAATCCCAAAGATGAGCATATGACCATTAGCAGTGGCATTGGGGACAAAAGATGGATCATGATCAAAGACTAGTACACGCAAAAAAATCAAATAGGAGTCAAGAGTTTCACTTCATGCTTGTCATAGGATAACATATTATTTCCATGAAAGCATCTATGGTTCTAGTGATTTCCACGCTTACAAGCTCCAAGACAGGCAACCTACTACTGCATTTTCATCTTTTACACGCAAAAAAAAAACTCAAAATGGAAAATCTATTGACTGTTGATGCAACAAACAGCAGTAGTCATCTGAAAACCATGCCGGTGTTAATGACCTAACAGTTACTCAAAACCCAATAGACTCTTCAATAATACCCCAGCAAAAATCCCTCTGGTATGACATGTAAATGATAAAACTCTGAACCTTTATTTTGCATACCAGACCATGTTGAGAATAGTTGAACATAAAGGTAAAAAAGTAAACCAATTTAATCAATCTACAATTCAAAGCTCATCCCATGCGATTTCAAATCCCCACAAAAGACCAGTAAGAAGCAAGTAACTACAAGTGATCCATAAGTTCTACAATCGAGCTCAGCGCGGCATTGAAGTTTGAGCTAAACTATGAAGTTCAAACGTGTTCTCAAAATGTACAATACCCGTTAAAATTCATCAAACCGGCACTCGAATTGCAAAAAATAAAAACCAAATCATCAATACGGAACGAATTTCCAGAAGCTGTAGATTAAACCAGAGCAATCGAGAGAGCAAAATAATCAAATACCAAATCAATGGCCGTTTAGGGACTAGATTTCAAGGCGAAAGCGCATAAATCAAATCGCAAATGCGAACGGATACAAGTAGCAGGAACAAAATTGAGGAGCGGGAGAGAATACCGGAAACGCGGATTGTGGAATGAGTTCTTCGAATCGTAGCATGTGAATCTGAATCTGAGATTGAGGACGACGATGACTTTTTTTGCCCCCTCTTCATGCATAATTATTACCGGAACCTCTAAATCTGCCCCTTGCATTTATGTGTAAATGTACATTCCTCGTGGGCTGTCTGTGAAGACGATAAGCTGAGATACAGAGAGAGAGAGAGAAAGGAAGAAGATGATTCTTACGCGATGGAGAAAATGCCAGAGATTCGGGTCCCATGCAATCTGACTCCCAACTTCTCCATTTTCTTTCCGTGTTTGGGCCCTTTGCCGGGCCAAGTTCAGTGGAGTAGGCCACTAGCAAATTAAGATGCATTCCCTATTTTCCAAAAAAAAAAAAAACACTCCTTCCTTTTACTCCCTTCATAAAAAAAACTTTCCACTTTTAGGTCTAAGTCATCTCAATGGTTCTAATCAAATTAAAATATGCTCTGATCTGATCTTGTCTGATTTGAATGTTATTATATTTAAAAATATTTTTGATATGGTCTGATCTGATATCAATAAAAAATAATAAGAATAAATTGAAGAAAACATAATCTCACACTTCATTCATATAAAAAATACTTTTATTTTCAATTAAAATCTTTCCTCTAGGCCTACTAATTATTAAAAATCTTTCTTTTAGGCCTACTAATTATTATGACATCATATCTATTCACTATTAATCTATTTATCACATTATATATTCTCCCACAATAAAGTAAGAATAAAATTGGAAAGTAACACCAAAATTAAACATTTCTTAAATTTCACTTGTTGTTTTAAGCAAAAAAGTTTTTTGGGACATAGGTAATACTTTTTTTATAATTTTGTCTCGTCCACTATTTATATGATCAAATTTAATTGTTTTAATATTTACTCCGTCTCAAATTAAGTTACATTTTTATTATCCACAAGGTCAAACATTATTCATTTTCATTTTCTATTTTCATTACTTATTTGATAAAATAATATAGTCCTGTCAGCTCTTGTTTCGTAAAGTTTTTTTATGCATTTTTTAATATGTAAATTTTATTTTTAATTATGCTTCAATTCTCAAATTAATTGTACTAGATATAACTTGAGTCAAACATAGTAAACCAAAAGAAACATTTTAAATTGGCATCTAGCATTTTTTTAAATACAAAAATGCTAGGGGTACACCATTTGGGGTACCCCATTTGTACCCCCTCCATCTCCACCACACAAAGCAAGAGAGAAAAAAAATTAAAAATAAAAAAATAAATGAATGGCTAGGATACATGGTGTATAAAATGGGGTACCCCTAGCATTCCTCTTTTAAATAATACTCATTATTTACACGTTTTTGAGTAAACAAAATCTCATCTTGTTAAAGTAAAATTTGCACCAAATAGTTTTAAAATATATGTCATCTTCTTAATGTAGTACTTAAATTTTTTTATTTTCTGAATATTACTTGAATAATATATAGTGGCAGAAACAATGGCTAGTGATGATGGACATTTAGTTTGAACAATATACAATGACACTGGATATATACTTGAAAAATGACCTGTGGACATTGAACAATGATATTACAATGGAAAATAAAAATATATGGTACTACATTGGAAAAGTCACTATGTTTAAGTACTATTTAGGTAAATCTCTCCTTTTAAAAATGAATTTATCTACTCCCTCCACCTTGAAACTATCTTAGTATTCATACAGTCAAACTTTATTCAATTTTTAATTTTATTTTCATTACTCATGTGATAAAATGAGACAATCATCTAACTCTACTTATGTAGAACTTATGATACAGTTTCTAAATATATAAATTTTATTTTTAAATTTTACACATATAACCAAATAAATTGAATTAAAAATAAAGTTCATCAAAACTCGTAAACTTAAACAGAGAGTTAATTTTACGATGAAGAACATATAAATTAGTATAGAAATAAGAAGTACAAATTACATATTTAAAAATTACATAAAAAATTCTGTAAAATAAGATGCGACAAGAATATTTTATCTTATCAAATAACTAATAAAAACATTCGAGTAAATAAAATTTATTGAGAAGGTCAAATAGTAAAAATGTAAATAGTTTAGATGGGAGAGACTGAGAGAGTATAATCATATTGCATCTTCATTTGCAAATTATTTAGATAAATTCAATTAAAAGTGTGGTTTCTAATTATATGAAATCATTTATTTGCACATCAAAAGAAGTTTACTCCCTCCGTCCCAAATTATTTGCAACGTTTGCTTTTTCAGCGTTGCGGAAACTTTTGTTTATTTCTACGTTTTCATTGGTTATATGATAAAATAAAATATTCTTGACACCTCTTATTTCGAATAACTTTTCATGCAGTTTTTTGATATGTAAATTTTATTTTTTATTTCTATACCAATATGTAAATAAAATGAATTTAAAAAAACTTTATATTTTACCTTTGGGAATACAAGTGTGGCAAATATTTAGGGACGGAGGAGTATAATTTTTCCTTGTTAGGGAGGAAGAAGCACCTATACGGGTAAGCGTCCTCGCTTCCAAACCACAAATCAAATCTACCCCACCTATGTGAGTAGGATGCCACAAAGCAGACCTTTACCATGTAAATTTTGTATCAAAGTTATAACATGATGGGTTATAATTAATTGTTTAATTTATTTTAAATTTAAAAAAACATAAAATATTTTAAGGTACAGTAGGTGTTGCCGGCGATTTTCTAGTTTAATTTGTGGGTACTCGAGAATAGAAATGAAATGACATTGCAGGATTGGCCGGTACATGGGTAGTACCCATGAGTGCCTCTCCCCCTCTTACAACCATTTTAGAGTTTCTTAGATCAATATAATTTTATGATTAAATTCCATATTTAGTCCTTAGTTTTATATCGTTTTACTTATTTAGTCTCTACTTATCAAATTTGACAATTATAGTCTCCATTTATGTTTGGTCTTATTACCACAAATAGACCTCCATCAATCCAATTATAGTCTCCAATCGCTATCTCCTCCCCCATGCGTGAAGACAGACGAGGATGGTGAGTATGGTGGGTTAATTCTAATTTGTGTTTTTTTGCTTTTTTAACAAGGAGATAGCGGTTGGATTGACGGAGGTCTATTTATGGAAATAAGACCAAACATAAATGGGGACTATAATTGTCAAATTTGATAAGTGGGGACTAAATAGGTAAAATGACCTAAAACTATGGACTAAATATGGAATTTACTCTAATTTTATAATAGCATATATTTTATTTTTATAATGTTTACGGAGTAATAGCATAAATTTTAGAGTTTCTTATATCAATATAATTTTATAATTTTTCATTACAACCATTTGAACAAACGAACATATATCGATCAATAAACAGTTTGAATCTACTTTGTAATGTTTTATTTTTTTAAATAATCTTGAATTGGAGCTAGCTACAGATTTCACAAGGCTCTGTTACAATCCTCCGTATACAAACATTTCTTAAGACTACAATGATAAACTTGCGTTTTTTTGTTGAATTAGGCCCTGTTTGGCATCAGCGTCAGAGATTAGCGTTAGAGTTTTGAAAAAACTATCCGACGGTAGCCTTTAGCATTAGCGTTTTCAGAATTAATCTGCACCGTTAAAATTTTATCCAAAACGCTAACGCTAATCGAAAACGCTGTTACCAAACAAAGCCTTAGTTTCTGGACAATGGACATGATATTAGAACCTTGTGGTGACTATGAGTTCAAAACTTACCGTTGTCTTGTTCTTAAAATTTTAAAGTTTCAACTTTCAAGTGCAAGACATCAACTGACCACGTTTGCACGTACGTGAATGGACGTGTTAGAATTTACAGTAAAACTTTTTCATGGGTCTACAACCACAATTTAAGCTTTTGATTGAATTGATATTTTTGGGTATGCTAACCTCCTCAGCCCTAGAGTCTTTCTCTCTCTAGCTATGCCGCGGAGAAGAGGTCGACCGAGGAAATCCGGCAAGACAGGCGTTCAATCACCGGAAGGAGCAGCTGCGAGCTCTTCCAAATCAACAGGTAATGAGAAGGAGTCCCCAAACTTTGTCATATCCTCGAGTCCTACCGAGGTGGATAAGGAGCCGGAAAAAAATGAAACCCTAGATCCACAAACGAACAAAGAGGATGCTCCTGTTCGGAAATCCTATGCGAGTGTCGTAGGCAGCCAAGATGATGAAATGAAGCTACAATATATTCCTGCCTCAGAGATGAATGGAACCCCTGTAGCTAAACTCACGAAGGAGGACATTATCGAATCTGCAACATATTGGGACGCTACTCTGGTATGTTGTATTCTCGGTGCTAACCCTCCAGTGGAAGTAGTTAAGGGTTTTGTACAGAGGATCTGGAAGGAATATCAGATTGAGGATGTTTCTCTACTAAGAGAGGGACAATTCATTGTATCGTTTAAAAAGGCTGAAGATAGGGACATGGTTCTCAAACGGAAGTACTATTTTTTTGATAACAAACCAGCTCTGGTCCAAAAATGGTATCCAGGGACTAAAATTAACCTGGAGCATCTAGATGATGTACCAATTTGGATTCAATTCCCAGATCTGAACATGCGATTCTGGAGCTTATCTGGTCTGAGTAAACTGGGAAGCATGGTGGGGAAACCTATAAGGAGAGACAGACCTACTGCAAATAAAACGAAATACTCATATGCTAGAATACAGGTTGAGGTTAAGGTTCAGCAGGAATTTCCTCAGGAGATTACCTTTATAGATGATGAAGACAAGGTGATTACCCAACAGGTCACCTATGAGTGGTATCCTTGTATATGCTCCCATTGCAGGAAATTGGGACATACACAGGAGACCTGTAGGAAACAAAATAATAAAAGCACACGGGTGAGAAGGAAACTGGTGTGGAAGGCTAAGAATAATACTGAAGTGCACAAGGATGATGCAAACACTGACCAAGATAAGGAGACAGGAAAACCATCTGGAGATAGAGAACCAATGAAGGAGGATACTGAAATCACATCTCATCCAGAAGAAGAGGGTTTTATGGAGGTATCTGGTAAAAAGGCTGCTAAGAAGAGGTTTGTTGAAAATGGGGATGGAGATGCTTGGAGTTCACTTATGAAGGCCCTAGAAAAGGCTCCATATGAGGGGCACTATCCTTTTCTTACATGATAGGCAGCTGGAACATAAGGGGACTTAATAGTTCCCTAAAGCAAAATGAGGTCAAGAGACTTGTTAATAAGTATGATATTGGATTGATGGGCTTACTGGAAACTAAGATAAGAGGGAATAAGTTTACTGATATTGAGGGTAAAATGTTTAATGGATGGGGTTCTTTTATAAATAAAGATGCACACCCATTAGGAAGGATTTGGGTAGTATGGAATAAAGGGAAGTTTGTTGTGGAGGTTTTGGATTGGAGTGACCAGCTGGTACGCTGTAAGTGTAGAGGAATTGAAGACAACAAGCAATTCTACTTGACATTTGTATATGGCCATAACACTGCAATTGATAGGAAACACCTATGGGAACAGTTGGGAAATCTGTCTAGCAACATGAAGGAAAGCTGGGGGGTTATTGGAGACTTCAATGCTGTCCTAGAGCCCCAAGATAGAATTGGAGGTAATAATGTTACAGAAGATGAGACTCAAGACTTCAAAGCTTGCATGACTATGTGTCATCTGGAGGAACTCCCTAGTGAGGGAAGCTATTACACATGGAATAACAAGCAAACACAGGGTAGCAGAATATATTCCAAACTGAACAGAGTGATGACCAATATGGAATGGCTTTTACAGGTTGAAAATAAGACACAGATTATTGAAGAGGGAATATCTGATCACTGCCTCCTTCTCATCAGGACACAAAACCAAGAAAGAAGGAATGTTGGCTTCAGATATTGTGATATGTGGGAATTAGACTCTGACTTCAAGCCTCTGCTAAATAAGGTATGGAAGAGAGAAGTTTCAGGAAGGTATATGTATCAGTTAATACACAAATTAAAGGATCTCAAAGTTCCTTTGAAGAGGCTCAATAGAAATAAGTTTCAGCAGATCCATCAACAGTGTGATATCATAAGAGAGGAATTGGCTGAGGTTCAAAGAAGAATTAAAAATGATATCAATAACTTAAATTTGATCAGCAGAGAGAAGGAATGCATTAAGAAGTTAATCCTAAAATCTATGGCATCAGCATTGATGAAATATCAGCAGTCCAAACAAAATTGGATTACAGAGGGAGATCAGAATTCCAAACTCTTCTTTGCTTGGGTCAAAAAGAGAAGTCTCACCAACCAGATCACTAATATACAGAATCATAAGGGAGATAAGGTTGAGGGTAGAAGTAAAGTTGCTGAGGTAGTGATCGACTACTTTAAAAAATTACTGGGAGTTAGCTACTGGACTGACCCTATTCAACAAGAAATTGTTAAGGCAGGACCTTGTCTGGACCTAGGGCAGCAACTTTCACTGGTAGTTCCAGTGACAGATGATCAAATTAAAAAGGCAATCTTCTCTATCCCTAATGCTAAAAGCCCGGGGCCGGATGGCTATAATAGTGGTTTTTTTCAAAAGAAACTGGGAAGTTGTAGGCAATCTGGTTACCAAGGCTGTGAAGGAATTTTTCCAAAATGGAGAATTCCCTAGACAACTTAATGCTACTAATATTGTGCTTATACCCAAAAAGGACTCACCAACATCACCTGCTGATTTCAGACCAATTGCATGCTGTAATGTAGCATATAAAGTCATTTCCAAGATCCTTAGTAGCAGGATGAAGGAAATGCTGCCAAATATCATAAATCCAAACCAAGGAGCTTTCGTTGAAGGTAGGGAGCTGGTGCATAACATATTGCTATGCCATGAGTTAGTTAGAGGATACAACAGGAAAGGCATCACTCCGAGGTGCCTTATGAAGCTTGATCTTAGGAAGGCATATGATTCCATAAGTTGGAAGGCTATTAGAGGGATCATGGAGGCAATGAATTTCCCTGGCAAATTCATTCAGTGGGTCTACTTTTGTATATCCAGCCCAACTTATTCAATCATGCTGAATGGAGAGAACATGGGTTTCTTTAATGGAGGTAAGGGTATCAGACAAGGAGATCCCATATCCCCTTTGCTTTTTACTTTGGTTATGGAGTATTTGACAAGGGCACTGAAGATTTATACAAACAACAATGATTTCCACTACCACCCAAGGTGTAAGTCACTCCAAATTATTAACCTGGCTTTTGCGGATGGCTTAATTATTTTATGTAAAGCTGACAAGGGATCAGTAAATGTCATCCTGGAATGCCTCAACCACTTCAGGGATGTAACAGGACTCGAGGTAAACCATACTAAATCCCAACTTATAACTGGAGGAATTCAGGATCAGGAAATGGATGAACTGCTGTGTATGACTAAAATGGACAGAGGGGTGCTACCTGTTAGATATTTAGGAGGTCCCATAACAGATGACAGAATCAGTGCTAGAGAATGTGAAGCACTGGTAAATAAACTTACAACAAGAATCACTACATGGACATCCAAAAACCTCTCATATGCAGCCCGGTGCAGACTCATTAACTCAGTTCTTTTTGGAATAATCTCTTTCTGGTGCAGACTCTTTGTCATCCCTGCTAAGGTTATGCATAATATCCAAAGTATATGCAGGAACTTCTTGTGGGGATCAAAGGCAGAATACTATAAGGTCCCCTTGGTTAGTTGGGACGATGTTTGTAAATCTAAGAAGAATGGAGGCTTGGGGTTCAAGAATCTGTGCAAGTGGAACTATGCTTGTAATTACAAGTTGTTATGGGACATTGCTAACAAGAAGGATGTATTATGGGTCAAGTGGATTCATAATAAGTATCTAAAGAAGGATACAATCTGGAATATTCCCCCCAAAGCAGGTTTTTGTTTCTACATGAAGAAAATCCTGAGTTGCAGACCACTATTTGCAGGAATGGATACCAGTAAGGAGTATCAGATTCACAAAGGCTATGAATGGCTTATGGAGGAGGGCAACTAAATGCAAGGATACCAAATGATCTGGAACAGGTTAACTACCCCGAAACATCAGTTCTTTCTTCGGTTGGGATGGAGAAACAGAATACCCACTAAAACAAGACTCAGCAGGTTTATGCCTATTGATCTAACCTGCCCGTTGTGTCTACAGCAAAACGAAGACAAGCAACATAACTTTTATGAGTGCAAATATACAAAAGAGGTCCAAGAAGAGATAGGAAGCTGGATAAGGTATCAATGGAGAGCAGATAATGATGAAGCAATGTTAGATGAGATGATGAAGATCAAAGGAAGAAGGAGTAGGCAGATTGTAATTGCAGCTTTTGCAGCAACTTGTTATGCTGTGTGGAGAGTGAGGAATCGATTGATCAAATTACAGGAAGATACCCCTCCAATTGAGTGTTGCCACTGGGTTAAAGATCAACTGAAACACTTCATAAACTATAAACTAAGAAAGATTATCCTAATGTAGTTTATATAGTTATTCTGGTGACCCATGTATGGGTCTGTTTTGTTAGAGTTATTCTGCGATGTACTTGTGATGGAGGCTTATGGTTCAATAAATTGTGCTTTTGTTCAAAAAAAATAACCTCCTCAGCCCTCCCAAGCGACTATTCCATTAAAAAATACTCCTTCCATCTTAAAATTAACTTCTCATTTGACTTTTTACGATCTTCAACGCAATATTTTGATCATTAATATATCTATTTATATATTATAAAAATAAAATATTTTAAAACTATATTTCAAAATGAATCTATTAATACTAAATTTATATAAAAATTAAATATAATTTTTTCATAATATACTATCAAAATTTAAAAAGATTGACTATCAAAATCAATGTGAAAAGTTAATTTTAACAGCTTAGGATATCATTCATAACTTTGAATGGGAGCATAAACACCTTTACCAGAAGCCAATAATGCCAAACATCACTGAGCATAAAAAACTTCATGTGTACTTGAGATGCACCTTGGAATTTGCTAATTTTTTGAATTGTAATGGCATGAAACAAAGTCTACAAAAGTAGTTTTTGACTTTTTGGAGAAGTCTTCGAGATTTATGGCATTTTTAATATCAATCAATTTTGACGACTTTTAAAATCATATACGGATTTCAAAGACTTATTTTATAAAAGATTCATCACATCTTTGAAAATATAATATCTTCTTTGGCAACAATATTAGAATTTAGCAATAATATTTTGGAAAGCTTGCGAGATAAGAATAAAAAATTATGAAAATACCAAAATAGACGTTCAAAATCATTTAAGACCAAGCTAGAAGTTTACATTGTCACATTCATCACATTGTCACACTATCATTGTCACATTGTCATCCATCGTTGGTAGCCACCACAGTGCTATCGCAGATCATCGACGATTAACTAACCACATTACTGTATTATATTATCATCACTTTTTCATTACATTGCTAACGCGTACTTTTACTCCAGACTTTCATTATACTTTCATTTTGGTATTGAAAGGTTTAAAACTTACGGAGTATATTTTAATATTTTCTTACTTTGTTACTCGTGGTGTGTTCGTCTACTTATTATAGTTACTATTTTATTACTACTATTATTACTACTACTATTATTAATATTTCTATTATTATTTTTACTATTATTATTATTATTAATATTATTATAACTATGATAATAATATTTTTAATTTTAATTTAAATCAAATTTATATCAGATCAGATCCAATCAGATCAGATCAAATCCAATCAGATCAGACCAGATCAGAATTTCAAAAAATCACATCAGATGAGATAAGGTGAATAAAATGCAACCTTAGTTGAATGACACAATTGTGATTCATTAGACATTTTTTTTTGTTGATTTTGTGTTTCAAAATCATTTAATTCACAAATTTCCTTTGTTTTGCTTATTTGATATTCATATCGATCTAGCAATTTTTTTAACCTTTGAAAATGATATTCTCTCTCTGAACGACGTGTAAAATTTCGTGGTTAAAATTACTATTTTATTTACAAATTGTTATGAAAATAAAAAAAACGTACATATTTAAAATTTAAATAAAAAATTCTATAAAAGACGAAGTGACAAGATTATTTTCTTTTTGTCAAATTATAAATGTAAGAATGCAAACAAAAACAATTATGAAAAATTCACCCCAAATAGGATAAAACATACTCCACGGTAGCATTTATTCTCAAAATAAGAGTTCTATATTTTATCTCCAAAATAAAAGTTTGCACTATGACATTGTATAGTGACATCTCATTTTATTTTTTGATATTTTATATTAGCATTGTACTCCTATTTTAGAATAATAATATGAAATTCTTATTTTGGTGTTTTTTCTATGTTTACTCTATTTTAGTCTTTTTTCTCAAAAGTTATCAAAAAACTGCACTAGAAGAGAGGTAAATCATTTTGAGATATAGGCAATAAATTATAAAAATTGAGCAGAAAAGATTCTGAAAAAAATGATTTAGATGTTAAAAAAAAGTTTTCAAAACAGTGGCATATTTAATTAGAAAAAATATCAGAATTCAAAAATTTCAAAGCATTACTCTACAAAAAAATGTTATAAATATGTTATCCTTTAATTCAAAAATCAAATTGAATTTTATAATCTTAACATAAAAAATAGAATATATCATACGAGCTTGATATTGAGTTTTTTAAAATCAAAGATCTATTATAATTTGACATGAAATCATCTCAATTGTTCTCATTTTCATCCAATCATTAGAATGTTTTTATAGCATATTTTTTTTAATCAAGTTATAGCATAAAAAAGAAAAGAAAAAGTCCACCGAGAATACCTACTCATGAAGCTTGACAATAGTGGAGAAAAAATTAAAGGACTAGTTCCGATGCCCCTGTGGTTTGGAAAATTGACACCAATACCCCATCTGTTTTAAAAATTTATTTCTAAAGTCCATGTGGTTTCAAAACGTTGCACCCACACCCCATCTGATCATTTTTCGACCATTTTCCGGCGAAGAGGGGGCATTGGCGCATAATTTTTAAACCATAGGGGGCACTCGTGCTCATTTCTTATTTTTCGTTTATTATTTGTTTTTTTCTTTCTTTTACCTTTTCCTAGATTTTTTTTTTAAATTTCTTTTCAATTTTTTATAATGTTTTAAATTTTTTTTAAAATTCTTTGTGTTTGAACTAATAAAAAAAATAACATACATTACATCTATCTCAAATTAAACATTTTTCACTTTTTCTTACATATAATAATTTTTTGGAAAGTTCAAAAAGAAAACCCAAAATAAAAATATGGAAAAACAAATGAAAAAAATTAAAATACGAAAAAAAGAGTCTTCTACAAAAAACAATTTTGGAACACACCTAAAAATATCCTTAAAATTGAGATGTCCAAAAAGGATAATCATTTTTATTTTTGTATTATTTTGTTTCTTATTTTATTCATCATTTTTTAGAAGTTCTAAAAAAATTACTTTTTTTTCCTAAAAAACAAAAATTGTTAATTTGAGACGTGCCGATGCATTATATGTTATTTTTTTCAAACAAAAATAACTTTAAATTTTAAGAACATTATAAAAGTAATTGTAAAATAACCTTTATTAATAAATGAAACAAATAAAGGAAAAAATGGGAAAAAAAGAGAGAGATAAAAAATCAGCACTGGTACCCCCCATGGTTTAGAAAATATGCATGAATGCCCCCCTTCTTCGCCGGAAAAATGACCGGAAAATGATTAGAGGGGGCACGGGTGTAGCGTTTTGAAACCACAAGGACTTTAGAAATAAGATTTGAAAACAGGGGGGGTATTGCTGCCTATTTTGCAAACCACGGGGGTACTGACGCTATTTGGCCGGAGAAAAAAGTGTATAAAAATAAGGATTAAGCCATTTGTACACCAAAATTTGTACTTCGTTTTGTATCCCAAAGGTATGCACTGATATTTTGTGCTAATGTGATGTTAGTGTGATGAATTAAATTAACAAAAAATATCAGTGTAATTTTTTTTAACTGAACTAACATTTTCTATAGTATGAATCATTAAAATGTCGGTGCATTTCTTTGGGGTACATCTTGTAAAAATAAATAAAAGGTTTACAAATATGGACGATTCTTTAAAATCAATGACTTTTATAATATTTTGAATACATCCAACTTCTGTAAACTATTAAAAGGCTCAATTGAATACATCAATTTTTGTACAATTTCTAATAAATTTTAATTAAATTCTATTGAATACATCTAAACTTTATGTGAAATTTACCTAAATAGTGCTAAAACACACTGATTTTTTCTCGATGTAAGACCATATATTTTTATTTTTCAATGTAATACCACTGGTCATTGTTCAAGTAAATGTCTACTGCCACTGAATATTGTTCAAACTAAATGTCTACCATCACTGGATATTGTTCCCAACACTAGATATTATTCAAATAATATTTAGAGAATAAAAGTATTTAAGTGCTACATTGGAAAATAACATATATTATAGTATTATTTAATGTAAATTTCACAATTTTCATATATTTTAAAAAATCTAAATTGTATTCAACCAAACTTTTAAATTTCGTATAGGTGTATTAACAAGAATATAATTAGATATCCAATACACTCCCCTAATATTATAGTTATAAAATAGGAGTAATCGGGATATTATCTTTCCATTGCCATCCCAATCATCCCATTTATGTTTGTTAATTATGTTTGTTAATTTCGTCTGAAAAAGACACAAGTTGCCGCGAAATAATTGCTTACCGTTAATCTCGCGACCTAATTGATTCCATTTTCAACTCTTTGGGTGCCCAAAGCCATCCCTTCAAATTGATGTCTGCTTCACTTTTCCCATTCAAAAAAGTCCCACGCAAAGCACATCTCTCTCTCTCTCTCTCTGATTCTCCCTTGATTTTCGCATTCAATAGAGGCAAGAATCACCCACACACCAGACTTCCCTTCCTCGCAGAGGTATGGGAAAATCTTGGGATTTCATGAGCTGGAATTTACATCTTTTTTTTTCTTGATCTATTTTCTTGGTTGTGCAGTTGTGCTTCAATTTCTATTTATGGGTATCTTACATTTCCTTTTATTTTCAAGAAAGTCTTGATTTTTATGGAAAAAAAGAGTCTTGAATATATCCCACACATAGGAGGAAATTGGTCTCTGTAAATTGGTCATCTTTGTGTGTCTAGCAAATGGCATATTAGATTATTAGGTATGTTTTTTTCTGTGTTGCATCAGTTTTTCATTCCACAAGTGAAGTTTTTGCACTACCCATTTGCAGTGTCTGTCAGTTGTGACCATTTTTTTTCTCTGGTTTGATCACTAATTTTAGCTATTGGAATTCTTGATTGCAGTGGGATGTTCATGATCTAACTAGACAAAGTATATCCGGTTTTCGGTTTGGGAAAGTTGTTTTGATTTCTTTGGGAATGGAGAAAACAAAACTTAATTTGAATGTCCCACTTCTATCTGTGAGGACTAGGAGGATCAACCGTAGTCATCAATCGGAGCGTGTAACCAGAAAGAACCCCGAAAATTCGCTTGTTAGCAGTCGAAAGCAGTTCCCACAACCTGATTGTGAGTTGAGTGAGGTCACAGACAAGACAGTTGCAGTCCCATTTTGTTGGGAACAAGTGCCCGGAAAGGCGAGGGGGGATGATTCTTCTTCAACCACACCAAGGCTCCATTACCACCAAAACATTTCCAGGTCTCAAACCAACGCAACCCACCCACCCGAAGACCATGCTGCTTTGCTTGATTGCTTGGTAGAGAGCATGAGGGTGAAAGGGGAATTTGATTTGGAAAGACGGGAGTACCCGTATCCTGATGAACTCGAATCACTAACCGATTCTTTGTCATCAAGCGGTTGTAAGGACCCAGATTATCTGGAACTCTTAGACGAGTCGTTTATGGTACCTGCAGCCAAAGCTGTGGGTTGGGGCACCGAAGAACCGAAGCTAGTGAAGAATAAGTCAGTTGCAGTGGAAAGAAAGCCCTATGGCATGCCTTATTATAGTGACTATGCAGATAGTGCCATGGTTGAAAATCAACACAAAAAGCCACACAAGTTTTGGAAGATTTTCAACCGGCTTCGTTCTAAGAGCTCCTCCGGGGGATCAAAAATGAAAAATCTTGAGGCACCCACACCCTCAATCAAGGGACCTAAATGCCAGACTGGAAATGCTCTCAATAGATCTCTTAACCATGACAGACAATCTTATAGTGGACCTCTAGGAAAGGTAGGAACTTCAACTTCATTCCCATGTAGGTTCTGTTTGGTAGTCTTAGTCTTCTTCTTCTTCATCATCTTCTTCTATTTCCATCAGAATGCATAGTTTTCGATTTGCATATGTATAACTAAAACACCTCTATCTCTGCAGCAATCACATGATTACCAGCAAAGATTTCATTCTAGGGCTTTATCAGGGGAGCTGTTCAAAGTGGGCAAGAGAAACATACCCAACCACTTGCCTCAGTCCAAAAGTGCTGCAGCATCTCCGATCCGGAGCTTCACTTCGTCTCATTTTAGTGACCCAAAGAAATTTCTTGGTGTGCCAAGAGAGCTGGAGAATTTCAAGGGTGCAGGCTATCTTCATCGCAACATTCATACACAGAACACTCGCAAAGGAGGTCCAGATTCGCCCGTGGATGTGGTTGAGAAAACTGTTTATGTAGATTCTGTGAACTATGTAAAGAATCCGAATCGCGAGACGTTTCCTTCAAAACCCAAGGTTGTTAAGGAGTTAGATAATTTGCCAACTCTGAAGTATGTGAAAACTCATGAAATGTTCAAGGACAACTCAGAAAGGAGCAAAAACCCAAGTCAAGAACCAGCAGGTCATAAACAAGGTTCTAAAGACTTGGAAACCATTCACAGGAACAAAAGTAGTAATGGAAGAAATCAAGAATCATCATGTCCACCCTTACCTAAGTCACCAACAGAATCTTGGCTTTGGCGAACACTGCCTTCGCGAAGCACTATGGACCAAATGGATAAGAGTCCGAGGGGAATTATTAATACTCCAACAAAACGGGAAGTCACTGTGAAATCTTTCGACGAACATCATAGTAACAGACATTATTTTGAGGTAACTTCTACTAAAGGGTCATTTGGTAACAAATGCCAAAAAAAAAATTTTCCTTCACAAGAAATGCATTATTTATCAAACCTCATTGATCTATATTTTCTTTCTTTTTTGTAGGAACTTGTTCCTCATGGTTCTCACCTTTGGTAAGACGCTTAATTAGGCGTAGGAGTGTACCCTTCAAGAATGCAAGGCTCTTTTTCATTCACTCGCTGAATTTGATTTGCGCGCTTTGGTTTAACATCAAAAAACTTGATCGAAGTGCATTGTTCTCCAACTTTTAAATTTGAGCCCCCCATGAGGTTTTTTTTTAAATCGGAGCGTGGGCGCGGATTAAAGAAATGGTATTTTAATTGTTTTGGAGTAATTTATTTTTGAATTCATACATGGCATTTGTATGAACTCCTTGAATGGCATTGTGGTGAGTCAAGAAATTCTTAGTCTTATTGTGTGCTTTGATTGTGATTAATATGACATTTTACTAACTGTTGTCTAGAGTGGAAATGGCCATCCTGCTTAAGCTTTCTGTGATCAAGTCACTTATATGGTATATATTGGCATATATAAAATGTCATTTGTACCTAACCCTTGGCACTGAATATAGAACCAATGGATAAACAGGGAAAATACCAATCAATTCACGAATAGTTATTGCATCTCAAAAAGGGTGCTTTTCTTCTTGTTTTTCCTAGCTTGGCATAGGATTAACACTATGTTTGGTTCAAGGAATTTGAGAGGGAAAAAAAAGAAAATGAGAAAGGAAAATATTTTTCTTATTTGGTTAGAGTTAGAGAGAAAAAGAAAAGAAAAGTGGAAGGAAAAGAAAATGAGAAAGCAAAAATACTAAGGGGAGGGAAAACTAAATTCTTCCCATTTTGGTGAAGAAAATGAGGAAAAACTATTTTCTTTTCTTTTCCTTTCAAATTCCTTGAACCAAACATAGTGTTAGAAAATCCTTTTTGTCAAATTTAGAAGATATATAGGGGGTGCTATGTTTGTGTTTATTGGTTTTATTGATGATAAGAAATTTTTCACTCATAAGTTGTTTACTGAAGTAGTTTTTGTGAAATAATTTAAAGGAGATATGAGTCATTTGAGGATATGATACTCAATTAAGGTTACAGATAGTTTAGTAACTTTTATAATAATATCTATCTAATACATCGAATTGAAGTAGAAGGCAAACATGCAACAAGCTGCGTCGCGAGCCCTTTTTGAATAACTAAAACGAAAACAAGAAAAATGGAATATGTCAGCTTATTACCACAAAGAAACACATTATCAATTGACTTATCAGTTAAGAACAACTTTTAAATAATTTTGACTAACTTATAAACCAGAGAAACTCTTACATGATAATGATATATGAAATGGATGAAAATGTTTGAACATGTAAAAAAACCTTTGCAAAGTTTAGAGGCCACAAGTCTCACTTGCTATAATTATGAGAAACAACTTACGTGCATGGTATATATTTACAATAAAGATTGGTGCATACATATACAATGAATCCACATGAATGTAAACATAAACACAAGCAAACAGTACGTACAAATAAATCCTTCAAAACTTCACTTTGGCACAATTTTTGGTCCCATCAATTAAATACTCTAGAAATTACTCTATCTGCAGTCTCATTAACAACTTTATTCTCTCAATTGACTTCATATAAGATAAGAAAAGTGTAGAAGAATAAAATTTTGTACTTCATTTTTTTTGAGAAGAGATAAAGTTGTAGTGAGTTGTGACTAAAGGCAATTTCGCGTGTGGCTTTTTAAATAATCCTTTCCAAAAAGTATTAATATTTTTTTCACGTCTTATTTTGTAGAAATTTTGAAGTATTTTCAAAAATATAGGTTTTATTTTTTATCTGTATATTATAGAGTAATTTTTAAATAAAATAAATTGAAAAACTTAAAATTTCTCTTCGTTTTGTGCAAAGTGTAAAACATGTAGGGACAATGGGCGTATTTCATTTTGATTTATTGTTATTGTCAAAGAACCAATTCGTCCAAAGGCTCTGGCTTGTGATTGTACGCCAAGAAAGGTTGTATACTCTAACATGCGCCCCCTCACGTGCAGACGAGATTTTTTTACTCGAACCTTACATTTAAAAATTAATTTCTCAATACTGAATGATAGTGATGTTTGAACTTGTGATTTTTTGGTATCAAGACTCTAATTGGATCTATTTTTTTAGAAATAAGTGGGGGCCAATGCCTCCTACTAAATTTCGGTGTTCAACTATTTTTTTTGAATTTCTATACTTTGAGTTGCATGCTCCCATCTAAAATTGGAATTGACCCCATAAAAATTATGTACTCCCAATAAAATGTAATGGAACATTATCTAATTAAGCTAATTCTTAGTTTTTTGTTTAATTTTATTAAAGTAAAGTGTATTTTATTGCATGTAATCTAATGTTTATAATAAAATTTTATATTACTATTTGATGAGAAATAATACGTGATTCGTCCTACATCTCCCAATTATTGTTGAAGATCAATCCAACTTGGCATGTTTAGTAAAATGAAGAAGTAAGAGAATATTTCTCCGTAGATACTCCGACTCCTCTTATAAAAGGAGAACTCTTTCACAAGTTAAGAGGAGGCCAAACTCTCCTCCCTCTCCCCTGTCATGCTCTCTCTCTCTCTAGATAGGGCTTGTATTTTCTTTTAAAGAAGCTTCAGGCTTCCATTAATGGTTTTCGAGCCTAAATCGTGTAACGTGTACAATCCCCGATATTAATAAAAATCTCATGTTGGCAAGGTACTGCTAAAAAAGGTCCGTGGTTTTCTTCCTATTGGGTTTCCACGTCAAAATCCCTATGTTTGTATTTTGGTGTATTCTGTTAGACTAAATTATCATTCTTGCACGGCTAAGAACGCCATCATTATTATATTTGAGCACGCCATTGGTCGGTGAAAAAATGTTGTACGTATCATTTTTCCAGAAAAATATCTGATTCGAAATTAGAGAGTTAATGAAGACTCGAAAGGACTAACAAGATCAACCGATCAAGAACGCAATATAGATATGAAGGCTGAAGATAGCACTGAGAGGACTTGTTTAATTACTTTCTTAAGTTGATTTTCACAATTTAATTAAAAAAGTGGAGGACTTCTTGATGGGAAATAATACGTGGCTCGATTCACGTACATTTCCCAATTGTTGACAAAGAACAATCAAATTGGTCATGTTTAATAAAATAAAGGAATAAGAAAATATTCCCTCGTAAGGAATAAGAGGAGGGCTCTCCTTCATCAAAGGAAGGCAGTTTTTCTCTCTTGCTCTCCTGCCCATTACTCTTTCTCTCTCTAGTTAGTGTGCATTTTCTTCTTTATTGAGCTGATAGCTCCACCATTAATGGCTTCTAAGCCTAAATAATATACCGTGTACAACTCCTGATATCAATAAAATCTTCCGTTGACAAGATACCGCCAAAAAGGCTCAATGTTTTCTCCCGATTGGATTTCCACTTCAAAATTCTCGTGTTTGTATTTTTGTGTATTTTATTAGACTGGTTCATCGTTCTTGCCCGTCTAAGAATGATATACCCGTTGAGTTAATTTACACCATCACTATTAAACAATATTTTTCATTCAATAAATGTTTAAAATAAAATTCATTATTTTTTGTCATTTTATATTGTATATTCAAAAACAAATCTAGAAACGCTGTCCCGGAATCCCTGATCAATTGTGCATCACCCTGAACTCCTAAATCCACCACTGATTATCATGGATTCATGGCATGGTAGTATGGTATAAGCTTCATTAAATTGAAAACCATCTCAAAATTATATAAAAAAAAGTTTGCTAAAACTAAAAAAAAACTACTCCGGAGTACATATAATTATTAGGAAGAGTATATATAGGTGTAACGTATATGGCCTATGGGCTCATTTTGTGTGTGAGGTGCACTTTAATTTTTGTCACAACATGTTAAATATATCAATTATTTAATATATTTAATATTATATATTATAATTATGGTTGTTACCTATTATAGTTAGAGTTATTATTATATAATATTACCTTATATAATTAGCCATTAATGTGGAGGATTCTAGAATATATTCCTCCACCTATAAATATATATTTTGTATTCCTCTTCTATTATTCAATCAATAAAGCATTCTTTATTATTTTACATGGTATCAGAGCCATCGTTCTTGGTGACCTAAATTTCTCCGCTTTCGCTTCTGGCGGGCGGCACCGCCATTAACCGCCGCCCGCCGGATCACTGTTTTCCTCTGACCCAAATTCTTCATCATCTCCTGAAACTACAAAGTTTTCTAGTTTTTTTTGTTGTCCGACGACTTTTAAAAAAAAGAATAGGTCTAAATCAATTCCTACTCCGCTAAACTACCGGCCTCTCCTGGCGCCAAGATTGCACATGTTCACTCGAGAGTAACATGATGCACAATTAGTGGGTAGATCTTCGGTCAACATGCATCTCCGGCAGTACCTTCCTTATGTTTCTTCTCTAACCCAGTCGTGCACAACTCCAGCGCGCGTCAACCTTCTCCCTCTTTCGACGTCAGCAACATGAGTCTGTTCGCAGCGGCTTTTCTCCTCTAGTTAATTTCTCTTCAAAGTTTTAATGTGATTCAATCCAAATATCTTGATGACCCACACATACCATGGATCGATGTGTCTCTTAAAAATTACTTTCTCTGTCGCATAAAACTTAGCTTTTTCATGCTGGAAAAAGTAAGATCTTGTGATCGGATCGATGCGAATAAATATGATAAGATATGGTAGGGTTATATGTAAATGAAGATTGATTTTAATTAAAAATGAAAGTGTTCTTTGAGACGAGTGAAAAATAAAGTGAATTTTTTTAAGACGAATGAAGTGATGTGTCACAATCTCTCTACATGGGGCACAACGAAATGGAAGCCGCAACTTCTACTGTAGTGGTACCACCAATCGACTATGTCGCTGATTTAATTTTCTTTAGTTTTTTCTAATTTCAACTAATTAAATAATATTTTTTAAAGACAAAATGTTATTTTGTAATGATTTATCTATTTTTATTGATTACTAAACTTTTTAATTTAATTTATACAAATTTTTAAGTAACAATAATGAATATTATAAATTAAATAGAGATACAAGACGAAAGGACAATAGTGGACTTAGACCCAGAAGATATCCAGAAGAACAACTACCGAACAAAAATTTGAAGGGATTCCTAATTACTTAATGCCGCAAAAAAATACTTCATCCGTCCCAAAATATTTACAACATTTTCTTTTTCAGCAGTAGCGGGAACTTTTGTTTATTTCTACGTTTTCATTGGTTATTTGATAAAATAAAATATTCTTGACACCTCTTATTTCGAAAAACTTTTCATGTAGATTTTTGATATGTAAATTTTATTTTTTATTTCCATACCAATATGTAAATAAAATGAATTGAAAAAACTTGATATTTTGTTCGA